GCATTGATTGCTGGGTTCGGATGTCACTAATGCACATGGAACTTGGAGCTCTACACTTAAAAAAACAGATTGTGCCCATTTGATTGAGGAGTGCATTGAGGCAAGCTGCCAGGTTGTATGACAGCATGAACTGACAAGGCAGGGATGCTGTGAGCACGCACAATACGTGCTGCGTGAGCGAGTGACCATTCCTGAAATGCAGTCAATCAGTGCGATCCATGAACTGGCTGACTGTCTCTCTTCGCAAAGTGTCTGTGTAGCAAATTTTCAGTGTTAGTCGCTGGCACAGCTGCACTCTGGTTCTGTGCTTTCAGAAGGGCCTGCAAATGGATTAAAGATGTGCCATGAGGGTCTTAAGGGGTTGGCAGTTATCAGATGCCAATGTCCTTGAATGAGGAGTGCGTGCAGCTGATGCCCAGGGATCATGCCCTGAGATGCTGTTGTGTGGTGAGGAACATGGATGCTCCTCGCAGTTAGCAGTGAGCTGAACTCCCCAGGTACCTGCTTTTTCATATTGAATATTCTCAGTGACTAGTTTGCTTGTGGCCATTGGTTGGAAAGGTAACTCCATATTAAGTTGTGCAATATGCAGTAGATGAGGTTGTTAAAAAGTGATTATTCCCTTTAATAGGAGACTTACTGCCTCCTATTGTGAATCTTACCTTGACCCGCAGAACTTAGAACATGCCACAAATTGTTCCCGACATTGAGAGATGCCTTTCAGGATATCATGTGCTATTCTGCCACATTTCTCCCTATAGCCCATGTTGCTCCTGTAAGAGTCCACCCATTGAATCAAATAATTCAAATGATTTCAGCAAAACACACCTTGTGCAACTCTGTATGACAAATGCTTCCATAAAAAGAATTTGACATATACACTTTCTTAATCATGATTTCAGGATGTCCTGAAGTACGTTACAAATGATTGAACACTTAAGTGCGTTGACTGTTGTAATGTGGGCAACATGGCAACCAATTTGTACACAAGGCCCCAAGAATAGTATTGTGATCATGACCAGATTTTATGTGTTAGTACACTTGATCAAGAATTAAGGTTTGGTCCGGGTACCAAGGAGCAGTCTGGGAGAACACCATGGGATTTCCTGCATCTACCTTAAGGGGCAGACAATATCTCAGTCATCCAAAAAGACACCATTTTCAATCATGCAGCACTCCCTTGGAGCTGCATTGCTTATTACTGTGAGATAGTAGGAAATGCCGATGCTGGAGTCTGAGATAACAAGGTGTGGAGCTGGAGGAACACAGTAGGCCAGGCAGCACCAGAGGAACAGGAAAGCTAACGTTTCGGGTCTGGACCCTTCTTCAGAAATGGGGGAGGGAAAAGGGGCTCTGAAATAAATAGAGAGAGGGGGAGGCGATGATAGAAGATGGATAGAGGAACAGATAGGGGGAGGGAAGATGGACAGATCAAGGAGGCGGGGATGAGTCTAGTAGGTAGGAAGTCAGGGTAGGGGTAAGTCAGTGAGGTGGGAGGAGCGGATAGGTGGGAGAAAAGATGGACAAGTCAAGGAGGCAGGCTGGAGGAGCTGGTCTTGGGATGAGGTCAGGAGATTTTGAAGCTTGTAAAGTCCACATTGAGACCATTGGGCTGCAGGATTCCCAGGCGGAATATGAGGTGCTGTTCCTCCAGCCTTCGGGTGGCAACATTGTGGCACTGGATGAGGCCCAGGATGGACATGTCGTCCAAGGAGTGGGAGGGGGAGTTGAAGTGGTTCGCGCCTGGGAGCTGTTGTCGTTTGTCACGAACCGAGTGTAGGTGTTCCACAAAGCGGTCTCCAAGCCTCTGCTTTGTTTCCCCAATGTAGAGGAGGCCACATCGGAAACAGCAGATACAATATACCACATTAGCGGATGTGCAGGTGAACATCTGTTTAATGTGGAAGGTTTTCTTGGGGCCTGGGATGGAGGTGAGAGGAGAGGTGTATGGACAGGTGTAGCACCTCCTGCGGTTGCAGGGAAAAGTGCTGGGGGTGGTGAGGCTAGTGGGGAGTGTGGAGCGGACGAGGGAGTCGCGGAGAGAACGGTCCTTCCGGAAGGCAGATAAGGGTGGGGAGGGAAATATATCCTTGGTAGTGGGGTCAGATTGCAGGTGGCGAAAGTGGCAGAGAATAATGCGTTGAATCCGAAGGTTGATGGGGTGATACGTGAGGACAAGGGGAATTCTGCCTTTGTTGTTATTGCGGGGAGGGGCTGTGAGGGCTGAGGTGCGGAAAACGCAAGATATGCGGTCGAGGGCGTTTTCAACTACTGTGGAGGGGAAATTGCGGTCCTTGAAAAACGAGGACATCTGGGATGTCCAGGAGTAGAGCGCCTCATCTTGGGAGCAGATGCGGCGGAGGCGAAGGAATTGGGAATAGAGGATAGCATTCTTGCAGGAAGGTGGGTGAGAGGAGGTGTATTCTGGGTAGCTGTGGGAGTCGGTGGGCTTGACATAGATATCCGTTTCCAGGTGGTTACCAGAAATGGAGACAGAGAGGTCCAGGAAGGAGAGAGAGGTATCAGAGATGGTCCAGGTGAACTTAAGGTTCAGGTGGAAGGTGTTAGTAAAGTGGATGAACTATTCGAGCTCTTCGTGGGAGCACGAGGTGGTGCCAATATAGTCATCCATGTAATGGAGGAAGAGGTGAGGGATGGTGCCAGTGTAGCTTCGGAAGAGGGACTGTTCCATGTATCCTACAAAGAGTCAGGCATAGCTTGGGCCCATGCGGGTACCCATGGCCACCCACTTTGTCTGTAGGAAGTGGGAGGAATTGAAGGAGAAGTTGTTAAGGGTTAGGACGAGTTTGGTTAGGTGGATAAGGGTGTCGGTGGAAGGGGACTGGTCGGGCCTGCAGGACAGGAAGAAGCAGAGGCCGTTTAGGCCATCTGCATGGGTAATGCAAGTATATAGGGACTGGACATCCATGGTGAAGATGAGGTTTTGAGGGCCAGGGAATCGGAAGTTTTGGAGGAGGTGGAGGACGTGGGTGGTGTCACTGACATAGGTGGGGAATTCTTGGACCGGGGGGAGAAAATGGAGTTGAAAATGGAGATAAGTTCAGTGGGACAGGAGCATGCAGAGACAACGGGTCCACCAGGGCAGTCGGGTTTATGGACTTTGGGAAGGAGCGGCGCGGGGTTGGGGAACGATGAGGTTGGAGGCTGTGGGTGGGAGGTCACCTGAGGTGATGAAGTTATGGATAAGACTGGGACTTATTACTGCGTTGTATTCATGTCTCTGGAGTGATGTTTGAACCCATTGATTCAGAGGTGGAGTGCTGCCACTGAATCACAGCTGGGACTACTGCAGCACCAAAAAAAAGATACAAATTTTACTTGTACAAAATGGTGTATTCTTGATAGCTAAATCATACATGAGTTGCTTTCTGCACTATTGTTAAACTATGATGAAACATTCACCTATATGTTGACAGTTGTAAATTTCTGACCTCCACCCAGTCCTTTGCCTTTAGTTCATTTCAATGCAAGTTGCAAGATCGCTAAGGATGAAAAGTGTTTTTAGTATGAACGATTCTATAAATATGATCGTAAAACTCTCGAGTGAGAACCGTTACTATACTGGTCATATTTGTATACTTGTCTTAGTTACAGTGACATGGGGACGCATTTGACAGTGCAAAGATTAGGAGTATGATATTTCCTTGTGAAGTTGCTCTTGTGAAGTTAATATTTAACCATAGAATTGTAGTGTGAATAGAACACAACAAAAGTGAAGAATACTGACAGGCATTTTTTCAAACAGGCTTTAAATAAAATCTTTGTCCTTCAGGAAATATATTTTAGAAATATTAGAACATTTAACAAATCAATTCAATGAGATAAATATACTGACATCTGAATTAACAGTTTAGAAGATAATTTCAATCACTTAACCAGTGATTATGGTCCTAGAGCAAACTGCTTGGTGGCTTATTGTTGGTCAGAGATTTTCAACTGTCTAATATATGTCACTTTGTTTTGTGGATTACAAGAAAAGTCAAAAGAACAAAACATCCTAAACAAGAGAGATACACGTTATTGATGATCTGTTTCTAATTTCACATAATGCACTGAAGTCCAGGTGTAAGTTACACACAATATAAATTTGGATTTTAATCCTGTTCAGAGTTAGGTTTTTGAATGAGTTCAGTTAATTTCACATCTGAATTTCTGATGTGCACTCTTGACTGCCCAGAATCCCGTCCAAGCGCCAAAGTCAAAATATCACTTGATACATATGAAGTGATTGGAGACAGATTGACATAAATAGTGACTACATAAATGTAAATCTTGGATAAAGCCCCACATTTTTTTTTTGAAGTAAAACATTTATTTTGTATGAAGAAGTCTTTGTTAATAAGTACAGTTCACTGTTCATTTGAACCTGTATTGTACATTTGGGTACAGAACATTTATTTTAATTTGTATTTTCACTGAAATAAACTATCCAGATATACATTTGATTTAAATGTAAGTAATGCGCTCCATTATTTTCAACTCACTACACTTATATTTGGATGTTTAACTTCTGCACCAATGAGTTTGCATTTGGATTTTAATATTAAGGAACAAATTAAAATTGGGTACTTTGCAAAATACTCAGCCATAATGCCTTTAAAAATGAAACATTAGTTCATTTCAATGCTTGTATACTTGTCTTAGTTACAGTGACATGGGAATGCATTTGACGGTGTAAAGATAGGGTTATGATACTTCCTTGTGAAGGTGCTGTTGTGAAGTTAATATTTAACCATAGAATTGTCTCAAATTGAGTGAAACTTGATTTTGGACTGAGCATTTTTATTTCCTAATTGGTATAATTTCCTTTTTTACAGAAAAGTAGTTCCTTTGTTCAATGGAAGACATGTTGGTTTTATGAGATTTATCTAATCATCTTCTAATATGTAACAGATAAGAATACAATGGATGTGTTAATGTCAGAGGTTTTGGAAAAAGGCCACTTTTTATTTTAACCTGAACTTCCCATTTCCCTCCAGCTTTGGTATGATTCATGATGGAGAAGGAAATGTATGCAAGAAATCCGAGGGTAATATCATGTCACCAACACTTGCGGGACATAATGGGGTCTTCTCGTGGTCAGCCTGCAGCCGGCAATATCTGTACAAGTTTCTGAGGTACAGGATTGACTTATTGCATCTCTTGTTGCATTTAAACAATATGTCTAGACCCTTATATTCTACAAGGAATTGCATAAGTTAAATAATTTCATAGGTAGGAAATACAATAATTGATGAGGTAACAGTATGGTTTTTATTTGTCACAGGAAACCCTGACACTTAGGGGCATGTAGTAGAATTTTGGAGACTATTGCATGATTTCAATTAATTTCACACCTGTATTTCTGATGTACAGTTTTGCCTTGACTGCCAAAAATCCCCTCTGAGAATCAAAGTTAGACCGTAACCTGTTATGTATGAAGTGATTGGAGACATACCGACGTGAACGGTCACTATATAATTCTTGGATGCAACCGCACATTACTTCCGGAGTAATATTTTTACTTTGTATGAACAAGGAAGTGCTCTGTGTTAGAATGAACAGTTATTACTCTGAAGGCTTGATAAACAGTTACCAACTCAAGTCTCCTAATATCTCTGGAAGTTGGATAACATTTGCTCATGGCCTGTTTATATCATTGTTGAAACAAAACACTGTCTTCCTTTGTGCTTTGCACCTGTACATATTGAGTACAACTGTATCATTTCGTGTGTGCACAAGTGTGTGCTTTGTGAAGAATGTAGATATGTGTGCCTCAATACCCCGGTATGAATGCTAGTCAGATGTAAATGTTTTTAAAGAAATTGAAACTGTATCTTTATAATATCGAATAAAACAGAAGATGCTGTAAATATTCAGCCATTCAGACACCATCCCACCCTTGCCTGCCTCCCCACTGGGCCATAAAGTTCCACACATTGACTCTGACTCTGTTTCTCATTCCACAGATGCAGCCTGCCCTGCTGAATATTTCCAGCAGGCCCTGTATTTAATTCCAATTTCCAGTAGCACTTCGATTTTGTCTTTAGAATATAGTTTCCTCATATGACTTCCTAATTGTTTCTATGTGCTGACATCTAAAGGTCGGGTTGAAATTATGCCGCATTGTTTTTTACCTAACAGGGCATTAAACACTTTGGTATTGTGTTATTATGCCTCTAAATTATGTGATTTACAATGGGTCATAGTCCAGCAATTAATTTGATGTTTATGTGATTACATAAATGAAACAGGGTAGGCGATGGCCTAGTGGTATTACTAGTGGTATCACTAGACTATTAATCCAGAAACTCAGCTAATGTTCTGGGGACCCAGGTTCGAAACCCACCTCGGCAGATTGTGGAATTTGAATTCAATAATTAAGTCTGGAATTAAGAATCTACTCATCACCAATTATTGGAAGATCCCATCTGGTTCGCTAATGTCCTTCAGGAAAGGAAATCTGACACCCTCACCTTGTCTGGCCTACATGTGACTCCAGACCCACAGCAATGTGGTTGACTCTCAACTGCCCTCTGAAATGTCTGAGCAAGCCACTCAGTTGTACCAATCGCTATAAAGTCTCAACGAAATGAAACTGGACGGATCATCTGGCTTTGACCTAGGCACCAGAAAAGACAATGGCAGAAACAGCCCTGTCGACCCTGCAAAGTCCTCCTCACTAACATCTGGGGGTTAATGTCAAAATTGGGAGAGCTGTCTCTTAGACTAGTTAAGCAATAGCCTGACATAGTCGTACTCACAGAATCATACCTTACAGACAATGTCCCAGACACCACCATCACCATCCCTGGATATGTCCTGTCCCACCAGCAGGACAGACCCAGCGGACGTGGTGGCACAATGGTAGAGGGAGTTGCTCCTGGAGTCCTCAACATTGACTCTGGACCCCATGAAGTCTCATGGCTTCAGATTAAACATGGGCAAGGAAACCTCCTGCTGATTACCATATATCGTTCTCCCTCACCTGATGAATCAGTACTCCTCCATGTTAAACAACACTTGGAGGAAGCACTGAAGATGGCAAGAGCACAAAATGTACTCTGGATAGGGGATTTCAATGTCCACCACCAACAGTGGTTCAGCAGCAGTACTACAGATCGTGCTGGTCGGTTCCTAAAGGACATAGCTGCTAGACTGGGTCTGCGACTGGTGGTGAGGGAACCAACAAGAGGGAAAAACATACTTGGCCTCATCCTTAATAATCTGCCAGCTGCAGCTGGATCTGTCCATGACTGTGTCGGTAAGAGTGATCATCGCACAGTCCTTGTGGAGACGAAGTCCCACCTTCACATTGAGAATAACTTCCATTGTGTTGTGTGGCACTATCACCGTGCTAAATAGGACAAACTTCTCACAGATCTAGTAACTCAAGACCTGGGCATCCATGAAGTGCTGTGGGCCATCAACAACAGCAGAATTGTACTCCAGCACAATCTGTAACCTCACGGCCCTGCATATACCCCCACTCAACCGTTACCATCAAGCCTGGGGATCAACCCTGGTTCAATGGAGAGTGCAGGAGGGCATGCCAGGAGCAGCACCAAGCATACCTGAAGATAAGGCATTGCACACCAAACAGCAAAAGCAGCAAGTGATAGAAAGAGCTAAGTGATCCTACAACCAACGGATCAGATCTAATCTCTGCGGTCCTGCCACGTCCAGTTGTGAATGGGTGTGGACAATTAAACAACTCACTGTAGAAGGTAGATCCACAAATATCCCCATCCTCAATGATGGAAGAGCCCAGCACATCAGTGCAAAAGATAAAGCTGAAGCATTCGCATCAGTATTCAGCCAGAAGCGCCAAGTGGATGATTGATCTAGGCTTCCTCCAGTGGTCCCCAGCATAACAGATACCAGTCTTCAGCGAATTCCATTCACTCCATATGATATCAAGAAACTCTTGGAGACACTGGATACTGCAAAGGCTATGGGCCCTGACAACATTCCGCCATAGTACTGAAAACTTGTGCTCCAGAACTTGCCACTCCCCTAGCCAAGCTGTTCCAGTATAGTGACAACACTGGTATCTACTCGGCAATGTGGAAGATCGTCCAAGTATGTCCTGTACACAAAAAGCAGGACAAATCCAACTCGGCCAATTACCGCCCATGTCTACTCTCAATCATCAGTAAAGTGATGGAAGGTGTCATCAACAGTGCTATCAAGTAGCACCTGCTCAGAAATAACCTGCTCAGTGACGCCCAGTTTGGGTGCCACCAGGGCCACTCAGCTCCTGATCTCATTACAGCCTTAGTTCAAACATGGACAAAAAAGCTGAATTCCAGAGGTGAGGTGAGAGTGACAGCCCTTGATATCAAGGCTGCATGCAACCCAGTGTGGCATCAAGGAGCCCGAGCAAAACTGGAATCAATGGGTATCAGGGAACAAACACTACGGTGGTCGAAGTCATACCTGACACATAGGAAGATGGTCATAGTTGTTGGAGGTCAATCATCTCAGCTCCAGGACATCTCTGCAGGAGTTCCTCTGGGTGGTGTCCCCAGCCCAACTATCTTCAGCTGCTTTATCAACGACCTTCCCTCCATCGTAAGGTCAGAAGTGGGGATGTTTGTGCAATCATTGGCAATGTTCAGCACCATTTGTGACTCCTTAGATACTGAAGCAGTCCGTGTTCAAATGCAACAAGATCTAGACAATATCCAGTCTTGGGCTGACAAGCGGCAAGTGACATTTGTGCCACACAAATGCCAGGCTATGAACATCACTAATAAGAGACAATCTAACCACCATTCCTTGACATTCAATGGTGTTACCATCACTGAATCCCCTACTATCAACATCCTAGGGGTTATCATTGACCAGAAACTCAACTGGACTCACAACATAAACACAGTGGCTACAAGAGCAGGCCAGAAGCTAGGAATACTGCGGCAAGTAACTCACCTCCTGACTCCTCAAAGTCTATCCACCATCTACAAGGCACAAGTTAGGAGTGTGATGGAATACTCCTGACTTACCTGGATGAGTGCAGCTCCAACAACACTCAAGAAGCTTGACACCATCCAGGACAAAGCAGCCCGCTTGATTGGCACTACATCCACAGGCATCCACTCCCTTCACCACCAATGCTTTGTAGTACACACTGCTGCTATCTACAAGATGCTCTGCAGAAATTCACCACAGATCCTCACACAGCACCTTTCAAATCCACAACTACTTCCATCTAGAAGGACAAGATCAGCAGACCTGTGGGAACACCACCCCCTCCAAGTTCCCCTCCAAGCCACTCACCATCCTGACTTGGAAATATATTGCCATTCATTCACTGTCGCTGGGTCAAAATCCTGGCATTCCCTCCCTAATAGCATTGCGGGTCAACCCACAGCAGGAGAACTACAGCAGTTCAGGAAGGTAGCTCTTCACAACCTTCTCAAGGGCAAATAGGGATGGGCAAGAAATGCTGGCCAACCAGCGATGCCCACATCCCACAAATGAATAGAGGAAAAAAAATGAAACACTGTAATTGATGTATTTTAATAATTCAGGCTTTTATGTTCACCAGTCATAAATTGAGCAATTTGTCCTGTATATTGAAAAGGGGCTCTGGATTAACTCAATAAATTTTCCAAAGAGCCAAGGATCTCCACTGGACTTCAAGCCCCTGTCTATGGTTATCTAATTTCCATGCACAATTGCTCAAGGAAAGATAGCATAGATGTCAAGAATCTTAGTTCAAAACCTTGTTCATTCAAATAATCTGTTTGAGACATATTTGCCAGATGGAATGTCTCAGTATGAGTGAAGAACCTATTTCAGCAGCTGAATAATGTATTAATCTTCTTTGGTTTTGAATTACAAATTGAGCGATTATAGTAGGTGAAGACCATGTTTTCTTGAATAATTTTTTAAGCTGGGTTTTAAAATTTTTTCTACTGCCAAGTGCTAACTGTAGAACACCGTTCATAATTTTTTTAAAAATATGACAATAAGTATATATGGACGTTACACTCAGAAAGCTATAAAAGATTGGAACACTTGCCCTTGTGTATACATATGCTTAAACTTAGACTTGTCCATCATTAGTTAAATATGATTGCCGATGCTTTCATTGAGTGTTGTTAGGTGAAGGTGTCTTTACATTGTTTTTATGCTTTTATGTCGGAAAATCTGTGTTGGAGAAACTTGGAAAGTTTGGCAACATCTGTGGAAGAGAAACAGAGTTAATATTATGAGTTTGATATAACTCTTCAGAATTCAAAACTTGTTCAGAACTGAGGCAGGCAAAGGTGGGTTGTAAAGATTACATGCCAGTGGTTGGCATCGGGCAACCCATTATGTGTGAACCAGTTGAGCAATTCATTGATCGATTTATGGTCACACAAGGGCCTCCTCCCACTGATGCCAATACAGTGCCAGCAATGCCAGGCACCTACGCAGGCATTGTAAAATGTAAACAACAGAATCATTACCATCAGCTGTATCTAAAGAAGTGGGAACAACAGCAATGAACTCAGTTCTGAACAAGTTCTGAGATCTGAGCAGTCATATCAAACTCAAAACACTTTAACTTTGTTTCTCTCTCCACAGATGCTGCCAGACCTGCTGAGTTTCTCCAGTACTTTCTATTCTTTCTTCAGATTTCCAGCATCCCCATGTATTTTGCTTTTAATAGATTTTCTCATGGGGGTTGTCTCTAAGTGTACTATCTTATATCTTTCACACAAATTTTTTTTTAAAATGTTGCATATAGTTTGGGTGCTTTTAAAATGGAGGTAAAGTTGATTGTTTGTTAACATGTTACTTTGCTTTCTTTGAGTTATATGAGAATCCAAATACAGTTGAATTTAATCTAAATCTATGTAGAAGATACTAATGGCACACATTTCTATTCTTGAATTTTATAGTAAGTTCATATATTCTGCACAATTTAGCATTTGGGGAGTTTAAAAAAAACTATAGAAATTGTTGTCAGTTTGAGCTTTTAAATATTAATTCAGTGTTTCACAAAAGCCTGATGATCTGGTGTTCAGTTATCATATAGTTTACTGCAAAAACAGTGTCACCCTGATTTGTTTTCTACTTTTGTAAATATTGTAGGCACTGCAGCGTTTAATCTTTATAAATCACTTGTACGCAGCACTTCCCAGGCAACTTGTCTCGTTGATGATCCAAAGCCAGCAAAGGAGTACAGATACCCAGACAAGCTGCCAGGAGAGCTCTATGACGCTGACACACAGTGCAAGTGGCAGTTTGGGGTGAAGGCCAAACTCTGCAGGCTAGATTTTAAAAAGGCAAGAAAATGTTCTTGAATTTTAAGTATATTGTTGGCATTGGTCAGAAGTTTACCATTTTGATTTTGTTAACTACCCACTGGATGATCAAGATTAAGTATGTAAACCAAATTAATCAGTAAAGGTTTTTAGTACTTAAATGAAAAAAACATTCAAAGAAATCTTGCAAACCTGAAATATTGTTATGGCTCACTTAATTTCACATTCTTTCTGTCACTCTTTGTTTTCTTTATGAACTGATGGCTCCCTCAGTTACCAGAACTTATTATGGATCACAACAGGTATTTCTTTAACATGCAAGGTCTCCTTGAAATATTTAAATTGTTAAAATATTATATCTAACTTATATTCCTTGCTTGTCACATTCCATGGTACTACATTTCTGTCATTATGTTTCCATTGCAATGCTTTTACTAGTTGACTCAAAATAAAGCAGCAAATAAGATTTGACGAGATAAAGAACGAACAAACAAAATGCAAGACAAACAGTTGGAAAACTGCTGGGAATATACCACAAAAGACTTCTAAAGTGACGAGCAAAATATACAAACAATGTTAAATGGGTAGAGAACATTGGATCTAATTGACTTGTTTTCTTTTAAATTGACAATCAAAATGCTTTTTGGCATAAAGTGCCCTAATGCCACAGCAGTGACTTCTCAGTTTATAAATAGTGCAGGAGTTAAATGATGCAGGAACAGCTAAAGACTTCTCTGCTCATGACCAGTTTTGATGAGGGCAACTAAAGCAAGCAGCCCCTTTTCAGTGGATGCTAGGGATGCCCAAAAATGTGATTTATTGGTCAATTAAGAGTCAGAAACACTTTAAACCACATGTATAGATTGGATATGACTCTTCAGTATTAAATTTGTCAACCATTATGCTTGTTCTGTGAAAGAAATTGCTGGAGTACATTCTGATTTCCGATCCTTGGACTCTCTAAATTTCAGAGGTATAGCGTTAATAACCTACATTTTAGGTTAAGTAAGGATTGGCAAAAGTTATGTATTGGTCAGTTAAGAGTCAGAAACACTTTAAACTTAAACATATTTGCCTCATTCAATTATGACCCCTCTCAGTCAAGATCTAAAGGTCACGTAATGCCAATTTAAAAGCTGGCATTTGCAAGAAAAGATTTGGTGATGGTGCATCTTCAATTGCAGATTCTTCCTCCTCTTTCACTCCTATGGCATATGATCCATGGACTTCGTCAGGATCTGGAAAGAGAGAATAGAAAAAATGGTTAGCAATTGGAAGCAAAAGTATAGTGTAGCAAAATGGTAGCTTCTTGTTGAAGCACAGTAGATTGAGGGGACGAGTTAAATTTGAAAGAAATTTATGTTTTTGTAGTCAATATCCTGTGAAATACTTTCTTGTGCACTACTGTATACAGAATTTCTCATTCTCCTTACTCATGGAAGTGTTTTCAGCAGTTGATAATATGTGAAATGAAGCAGTCCCTTATCCTGTACTGGGTTCACCCTAGATTATGTGTTGATTTGTCTTAAAAGGGTAATGTTGCTTATGTTGCTATGTGGTTTACTGAAGAGTTCAGCTGATCTGTATGTGAGTGTAAAAACTTAGTTTTATGAAAAAGCATTAGTAATGAGCAAGTAAAAGCATTACTTATGGAAGCACTGGCAAAGTTTGGAAACAGCAATAGGAGGAGAGTCAATGAAGACTCTTTCAATGATTGGATGAGAAAAATGAGAAGTGAATAATGCCAATGTTTTTATTGAAACTGTTAGAGCAAACTGGTGCAGGACGTTTGTATTGTGAAAGAGTCTTGGACATCTGTGTCAGAAAATTTGATTTCTCCTTACACTGCCCTTTGGGTTAGAGATTCACAGCATCTGACGTACACATTCCACTTCCTCAGAGCATCTTTCTGACAGGGCAGTATTGGAGATTCTGGTGTTCTTCAAGCCAGCATTTTTTACCACTATCGTAAACAATCAGATTTCAGTTATGTTCCACAAAAAGCAATGCACCATCCATTTCCGGCCCAAAACCTTTTCTCTCCACCACTGCTTGAGATGTCCACTTGGCGCTGAGTCATGCGGACAGCTCATCAATCAAACAATAACTGGACAAGCAATGCTGTTTGTCTATCCACTGTGTATCCATTTTTTAAAATTCTATGTTAAAAAAGTCATTAACATTCTAACTGTTGATGGTGCTATGAGGTTATGTTATCTGACTTAAGTACAGTAGAGCTCCAAACACATTATATGATAGTTATATTCTAGCATTGCTAAATCCCAAATCAAAACACAAGATTAAAGTGATATTTGAAGAAGTGGAAATGGTCTGTATATGCTCTGTCAATATCCATTATGATTTAGAAGTCTTCTGCATCTCCTGTTAGATTCTATGCTCTATTCTGATGTGAAGGATATCATTTAAAAATCATGCCTTTTGTGAAATGGTCATTCAGGGCGACAAAGCAGTCACATCTATTATATATGCAGTATTATGGAAAGGGCAGCAATATTGTAAGGTAAATGCATTTCAGCTATTTATTATCCTTTTTCTTCTTCAATATTGTTTTGTCTTGCTTGTATTTGGGATGCTTCAAGCCTTTTAATCAGTTGTCCTTTGTTGTTCATACAAAATTGACTCTAAATAGTTTTTCTAATGAGAACCACCTTTGTATAACATATCACAGAATGATTTTGGTGCAGAAGGAGACTATTCAGCTTATTGCATCTGTACTGGCTCTTCAACAAGCATATTTGGAAGAAGACAAAATAACTGATCAGGCTTTTCAGACTGCAAAAGGTGTGCCCTGTGTCGTTCTGCTATTATCTGCATGGATGCCTTTGCAGACAAAAATATAGGCCTGTAACTAGTGCAGGTCAGGCTTGTGCTCCAAATGCAGCTGATTGCAGACATGAAAACAACATTAAGATCTAGTTTTCAGTGGTATTTGTAAAAATAGCTATGACATGATGATCAACTGCCATTGTCCCCTAATTAGATGTACTTTCCAAAGTAACACCAAGCAGGCAATGACTAGTTAACTGTCCACAGAAGATCTGGGTCAGCAGACAACCGGATACATCAACATGCCATCTGCTGCAAAGACTTCTGTAGTTATCATATTGTATATGACTGGGAGCATTTAGGTGAGAATTGACAGTTATAAGTGTCAAGTCATAGTCTAGTGAAGATGACCACCATTCTTGGATCTCCAGTAGTACCATCAACTAAACCTCAGCAGCTATCAAGATAGGCACAAGATTGTAGCTAAGAGTAGCCCTGAGAAGTGGATTTATTTTACTTTTGCTCTTATTCCCTAGATTTAGTAAAAGCTAATAATAAGTCAAGATACATCTTCAGCAAAAGACTTGCAGCATTTTTCATTAAATATTTTTGTGGCGCATCAGTTTTAACCCTTTAAATTCTATTTACATTTTATCTTTTTCAATGCAACTGTGTTCCCAGCAGCCATTTTGCACTGTCCTAATGGAGATACCTTGGAAATTTAGATGCAAGTATTCTATTTTATCATTTGTATATGCCTGCAACTAAACATCAGCTGTTTAACCTAAGGGTGGTAGTAAATCTATTCTGACAACTTCAAGACAATATTAAAGACAAATAAAAACTGAAAGAACTGCGGATGCTGTAAATCAAACAAAAACAGAAGTTGCTGAAAAAACTCAGCAGGTCTGGAAGCATCTGTGAAGAAAAAAATCAGAGTTAACATTTTAGGTCCGGTGGCTCTTCCTCAAAACAATCCTGAGAAGGTGTCACCGGGCGTGAAATGTTAACTGATATTTTTTCTACACAGATGCTGCCAAATCTGCTGAGCATTTCCAGCAACTTCCGTTTTTGTTCATGACTAAAGATAATGTGCGCTATAGGGAAGGGACATGGAAGGGTACTAACGAAATTACACTAGAAGAGTGTCAGTATGAGCTTGACTAGCCAAAGAACCTCTTTCTATTTTGTAACCATTCACTGATTCTATATCACATGGGAGTTTGAGACACGTCTGCATTGATGTGATTGTCCGAAATCATGATGAACAAAGACAAAGTTGCTAGAAAAGCTCAGCAGGTCCAGAAGCATCTGTGAAGGATAAAAACAGAGTTAATGTTTCGAGTCCTCAGTTTTGAGGAAGTGTCACCGGACCCAGAACGTTAACTCTGTTTTTTCCTTCACAGATGCTGCTAGACCTGCTGAACTTTTCCAGCAACTTTGTTTTTGTTCCTGATTTACAGCATCTTTCGGTTTTTATTAGATATTGGATAGTTCTGGTTGATTCAGCGGCTCACCACCACCTTCTGGAGGGCAATTGGGGATGAAAATACATGCAGTCCACATGAATGCATAAAGAGGTTAAAAAAAAATGTGGCCTTAATTGGATCAAAAATACTTGTGTTGTTGCTTTAGATTGACACCAACGTGTACTTGTTACTCCTCAGCAACAAGTCAATAACAGTGATCGTTCTCATGGAAAACATTGCAATTGTGTTGATTTTCTGTCCCCTAGGATATCTGTAAAGCACTTTGGTGCCACAGAGTTGGCCGAAGATGTGAAACAAAGTTTATGCCAGCTGCTGAGGGCACTGTTTGTGGGCTCAACCGGGTAAGGTAACCCTTTGCTGTATTCAATTGATAAATAATTTCTTAATTATACCATTTAAAATGTACTTGTCCATTAATTTATTATATGGTTTACAAGAAACCTGGTAAGTTTATATTCTTTTGAATATTTGTAGATATACAAGTAATTGAAGTAGTTGTGGTTTTGGAAATCATGAAGAGATTAGGGCAGCATGGTGGCTTAGTGGTTAGCACTGCTGCCTCACAGCACCAGGGACCCGGGTTTAATTCCACCCTCAGGTGATTGTGTGAAGTTTGCACATTTCCCCATGACTGCGTGGGTTTCCTCCGGGTGCTCGGGTTTCCTCCCCCCGTCCAAAGATGTGCAAGTTAAGTGGATTGGCCATGCTAAATTGCCCGTAGTGTTCAGGGATGTGTAGATTAGGTGGGTTATAGGGGGATGGGTCTGGGTGGGATGCTCTGAGGGTTGGTGTGGACTTGTTGGGCCAAAGGGCCTGTTTCCACACTGTAGGGGATTCTATGAAACTCTATGAAATGTTATGATTTTATATCTAGCCATCTGAACAAACCTGGTTATAGAATTGAACATTCATTTCTGGTCAATTGCAATGTGGTGCAATAGAAAATTCTGACAGAACAATATTAACTCCCAAGCAGGTTAAGCAGAGTTAGTTAGGAACATAGGAACAGGAGTAGGCTATTCACCCCTCAAGCCTGCTCTGCCATTCAATAAGGTCTTGGCTGATCTGTTGCCTAACTCCATATGCCTACCTTGGGCCTATATCCTTTGTTACTCTTGCTTAATAAAAATGTGTCCATCTCGGATTTAAATTTAACAATTGAATTAGCATCGACCACCATCTGAGGAAGAGAGTTCCAAACCTGCACTACTCTTTGTGAAACACAAACTGAAATTGTTTGTAAAGCTTAACAGGTCTGGCAAAATTTTTGAAGAGAAATCAGAGTTATTATTTCGCATCCAGGGACCCTTCCTTAGAATTCCTCTTTGCTTGATTTCTGACATTTCTTATGAATGGCTTGGCCTTAATTCTTTGACTACACCCCCTGTTCTGGAATCTTCAACCAATGGGAATGGTTTATCTTTATCTACCCTGTCTTTCCCTGTTAATATCCTGAAAACTTCAATTAGATCAACCCTTAACTTTCTAAATTCTCGAGAATAAAAGTCTAATTTGTTTAATCTCTCTCATAACTTAACCCCTGAAGTCCAGGTAGCATCCTTGTAAATCTACTTTGAACTCCCCCCAAGTCCAAAACATCCATCCTACGATGTGATGCCCAAATTTGCTTGCAGTTCTCTAAGTGGGGTCTAACTAGGGTTTTGTATAACTGCAGCATAATGTCGCCATCCCTATGCTCTAGTCCTTTAGATATGAAGGCCATAATTCAAGTCACCTTCTTGACTATTTTATGCACATGTTCATGGCATTTTAAAGAGCTATGCACCTGAACCCCCAAATCTCATTGGATATCTAAACAAAAATCCTGATCTATCCTTTTTTGCTCCAAAATGCATAACCTCACACTTGCTTACATTAAAATCCATCTGCCACAGCCTTGGCCATTCACCTAATCTATCAGTATCCTATTGTAATTTTATGTTGTGGTCAACACTGTCTACAATGCTGCCCAATTTTGTGTCATCAGCAAATGTGGATGTTTAATGTTTTATGCTATTATCAAAATCATTAATGAATATTGTGAATAATTGAGGCCCAACATACATCCCTATGGGACACGACCAGTCATGTCCTGTCAATTTGAGAACTTACACATTATTCATAGAATGATAGAATCCCTACAGTGAAAGCAGCCCATGCAGCCCATTGAGTCAACGCTGCTTCCAAAGAGTAACCTACTGAGATCCAATCCCATACCTTATCTCCATGACCTTGCATTCCCCACAGCTAATCCACCTAGCCATTATTCTAACTCTGTTTCCTGCCACTCTTCCAATTTCCTATCCATGTCAGTAATTTGCCATCAATTCCATGGGTTTCCACCTTAGCTGACTGTCTCTTGTATAGGACTTTATCAAGAGCCTTCTGGAAGTCAATATTAACAATATCCATCGACTTACCTCTATCCACCACCTTTGTCACCTCTTCTAAAAACTCTGAGGTTTGTCTGAACATATAAAGTGAGTTTTATCTCAGTGGCAGTAGGTTAGGGTTGATCTGACCAGGCATGAGCAGAGCTTTCTAATGATAGAAAAGAGCAGTTCCTGCTAGGCATTCTACGCTGGTTGAGGCATATACCAGAACCTATATTTCCATTCTACTGAGATGAGAGGATGTTGTATTAATTTAGCATAAGAGCTGAATGTACGTGAAGATAAAGTTCATAATGCAGAGAACAATGGACACGAGAGTGGATTGCAATGTTTGGTCTGGAAAGGAGACTCGCCGCTTGGAGTGGCACCTTGCAAAGTTTAGTTCCTCATTTCACGAGTCTAATTCAAGAAAGCTGATGAAAACCCTGCCACAATTTTATAGGTATGGATGTATTCAGCTTTTTTTTTATTCTTATCCATCTCTGTAGAACTGATGACAATAAAAATCAACTTAAGTTTTTATATCCCATTGTATAATGGGTGACAAACGCATTCCCGTTATTTTGAAGGGTGTGCTAAAATTTACTGTTATTTATCTGCCTGCTTAAAAATGAGAAGCATTTTTTAAAGACCATTCTAATCATCTCTGACTAACTGATTTTAATCTATTTCAACCTAACTCCTACTCTTCGTTTTTTATAAGCCAAGCTTAGACATCCTTGCATTGTACAATTATAGTCTGATGAAAGGTATTAATTGACAAACCCAAAGAAATCTTGGAACATTTTTTTAAGTTTATTTGCAATGTACAGCCACTCCACACGCTCTTCTATGGGAGCTGAAAAGCTGAACTGTTTGTCACACAGAGAACATACTTCGTTTTAAAAATATTGACCATACAGCTGATCACAATTTTCTGTTTTCTATCCACTGGTCACCCAAGGAATTTGTGGTAATTGTATATTAATCTATTGGTTGCAGGTGTCACTGTCATTAGTCAATGTCAGTGTGCTATCATTGTCTCTTTTACTGATTAAAAGCTTAGTTGTCGTTTTTCAATATTTATATCATTTGTTTCATAGAAACATCAAAACATAGACAATACGAGTAGTGTGAACCATTCAGCCTTTTGAGCATGGTGCGCCGTTCAATATGATCATGGCTGATCATCCAACTCAGTACCCTGTTCCTGCTTTCTCCCCATGCCCCTTGAGAGCTATATCTGATTTCTCCTTGAAAACATTTTGTCCTCAACCACTTTTTGTGGCAGAGAATTCCACAGGTTCACCACTCTCTGGTTGAAGAAATTTCTCCTCATTTCAGTCCTAAATGGCCTACCCCATATTCTTCAACTGTGTCCCCTGGTTCTGGACTCCCCAGTCATCAGGAACATCCTCTTGCATTTAACCTGTCTAATTCTGTTAGAATTTTCCAGGTTTCTATGAAATTCCCCCCACCATCCCACCACCTCGATCCCTTTAAACTTCAGTGAATATAGTTTTAACCAATCCAGCCTGTCTTCATACACCAGTCTTACCAGCTCAGAATCAGTCTGGTAACCCTTTGTTGCCTTCTCTCCATAGCCACAACATCCTTCCTCTGATAAGGAGACCAAAACTCGAGGTGCAGTCTCACCAATGCCTTGTATAATTACAGCAAGACATCATGTTCCTGTACTTGAATCCTCTTGCTATGAAGACCAGCATACCACTTACCTTTTTCACTGTCTGCTCTATCTGCATACTTCAAGCAACTGGTGTACAAGGACAGCCAGGCCTCAATGCATCTCTCTTCTTCTCAATCCATTGCCATTCAGACAATAATCTGTCTCCAGATTTTTCTACCAATGTGGATAATCTCACAATTTATCCACATAATGCATCATCTGCCATGCATTTGTCCATTCACTCAACTTGTCCAAATCACACTGTGGCACCTTTGCATCATCCTCACAATAAACCCTCCTAATTGGCTTTGCATTGTCTGCAGACTTGGGGATATTATGTTCCCTCATCTGAATCATTGATATACAGGGGTTTCTGCTATAACATTGCATTCCATTGCACTATAAATTTCACTATATAAATAATGGGGCCCATGGGAAAAGTGGAGTTAGGGACACAAAGGACACATCATAATTATATTTTCCAAAATTCTTTCTCACCTGTGTAGCTTCATTCTTATAGCTGCAGTTATAATGACAGTTTATCAGACAGGTGATGCTGCAAAGAGGCAATACATTTACGAATCTGACCTTGTATTTGCAATGAAGTGACAGCTGGGCTTTGAATAGAGCTCTTCCACTGGAAATCCCAGCAATGGTCAGTACTGCATGATAGTGTGAGCATCATCCAAAAGAGGTGAGCAGTGCAAAATTGTGTGAGATATATAGCCAGCAACCCTCCATGAAACTCCCCCGAAATTGACACTTTGGCAATTTCAGATGTAATCTTTAAACCTGCCTGAAATAAGTGGAAAATCGTTGGAGAAAGAGGTCAGCAGTGCAAAATTGTGTGAGATTGATCTCACAGCCAGCAACTTTCCATGAAACTCATCTGAAATTGACACATCGGCAATTTTTAGTAACATTCCCTCCTCTATTTAAATGCTGATCTGACCTGACATTCCATCAGCACAGACTTCTGGATAGATTTTCAGATAAGTGAAGCAGAAGAATCTGACCTTTCTTTCCTGTGTAGCCCATTGGCATCGAAGTTAATTGTAGGATTAAAAAGGGTTCAAACCTGAGTAACGTTGTATTCAAAATAGTGATGGAAAAGAGCACGTTGTAACACAGACAATTTTTGCTATAAATGATTTACATACGCAAGTTCAAAAATTCTTACATACTAAATGATGACAAAATCTAGGCAAAATACTACACACAAAGGTGCATGTTTTAACTGCACTCATATTATTTTCAACTATTCTTCATCTTTTACTTATAC